TCATATTCATAACTAGTATTAGTAATAGTATCATTACTATTATTTATATGAATATTGTCCGTTGGTAAAGATATGATAATAATAATCATAATGATGTTAATGATGATAATAAGGATAATATATAAAATAAAATACTACCGAATTAATAACAGTGATTTCAACAATGAGTAAAGAAAAAAACAAATGAAAATGCATGGATATATGATGAAAAAACTATATTTGTGAAGAGAGCTTGGAGTCTCAAAGGGCAAATATTTATCAAGGGTTCGAATCCTGTTTCGATCTGCGTTCCATGGCGTTTTCGAACCGCCAATATGTCATCCTGCTTCACTGTAGTGCTTCGGTGTGTCAACAATTCGCACAGTCTCTGGTTCTTTACTTTCTCTATTCGCACTTCCTATCCTTTACCCTTCCCTCTCGACACTTCCCTCTCTTCTATTCATCCTGTGCTTAAACATATCCATGTATCTTCTATGTTATGTTCTGTGACTGATAGGTACTCGCTCCATTATGGTGCAAAAGCGCCTGCCTCTCTCTCTCTCATTTCGGGAGGGAAAAAGGAGGCTTATTCACGCTTTGGCATTTGCATTCATTTCCTCGGCTAGTCTGTGATATTGGGCCTTTATTCCCTCGTTTTTTCCCCCTCTCCTTTGGCCAACCCTCTTGCGTTCGTATATTTTCCGGATGTTTTTCCCCCAAAACCGCCCCATGCACCGCTTTTTTCCCCTGGTGAAGTTATTCGGTACTCGACCCACGGAATAACTGCTTGGCTGACCCACAAGTATGTATAGACCGTGGAAGTACAAGCTGTGAGTGTCTCTTTATCTTCTGTCGTTCTTTCATTCTCTTTTCTCTTCCTTTTCCGTTCCTCTCTCTCTCTCTCTCTCTCTCTCTCTCTCTCTCTCTCTCTCTCTCTCTCTCTCTCTCTCTCTCTCCTCTCTCTCTCTCTCTCTCTCTCTCTCTCTCTTCTCTTCTCTTTCTCTGTCTCTCTTTCTATATGTATTTATGTGTGTGATATATATATATATATAATATATATATATATATATAATATATATATATATATATATATATATATATATATATATTATATATATATATATATATATGTATGTATCTTTCTCTCTGCTTCATCTTGGTTCTCTCAGTCCATTGAAACATTAGCACTGCAGCACCATAGCCCCTTCAATCAATACAAAAGACGTATGAAACAGTTTCATATTCATCCGCATCCACCCGCCCACCTTCCCCACCCAACCGCCTCGAAAAATATCGCGGGAAAAAAGCCAAGAAAAAAGAAGACGGGCTGGGGGAAAGAAAGAAAGAACGAAAGAAAAGAACGAAAGAAAGAAAGCAGGGAGGCCGGAGTTCTAAAAGGTGACCGTCGGGCAGCGAGCGCGGGCGTCCGAGCGGGGCTGTCCGTCACACTGGGCCCTTCGGAGCCTCGGGCAAAACATGGCAACCCCCCCCTTCTCCCTTCCCCTTCCCCCCTCGCTGCACCCTCGTCTCCCTCTCCTTTCCCCCCTTCTCCCTCTCGACGCCCTCCTCCCTCCCCCTTCCTCTTCCCCATCTCTGCGCCCTCCTCCCTTTTCTCATTTCCCTTCCCTTTCTCTACGCTCTCCTCTCCCTCTCTTTTTTTTCTCCCTTTTCCCTCTCGACACTCTTCGACGCTCTTCTCCCCCTTCCTCTTCCCCTCTCTCCACCCTCCTCCCTCCTCCTTCCCTTTCCTCCCTACAACCCCCCCCCTTCCCCTCCCTCCCTTCTGCACCCTTTCCTCCTACTGCCCTCCCTTCCTCCCTACAATCCCCTTCCCTCCCCCTATCTGCATCCCTTCCTTCCTACAAACCCCCTCCCCCTCCTCCTCCCCCTTCTGCACCCCTTCCCCCATACACCCCCCCCCCGCCCCCGTCCAGCGCCCCCGTTATCTCGAACATCGTAAAGTCAGCGCCGGCCCATCATTACTCGTAACTCCCAAACTTCTTTAATCAAGCTTCGTGTATGCAAACTTCTTCCTTCGGCGATGCTCGTTCATCATGCTTTAAGGACTATTATTAAAGATGTTTTATGCATTACACGAGTCTACATTGTTACAAATAATAGTCTTGCTCTAGAAATCCATTCCTGTGCCATTGTCAGCGCTTCTTGCTTCCCAAAGGCGGCGACAGCGAGAGTGCGGCTGAAATTGCGTGTACCTGCGCCTGAATCACTACCTTGTCCCTCTCTCTGTCTCCTCGCTTTCGCTCTCGCTGTGTTACCTTGCGTATTCTATTCTTGAAAGAAAGAGGACTTTTGCAGTATTTTCTCTCACTGGGTCTTCCTCTTTACTCTTTCCCATCCTCTACGCCCCTCTCACCGCTCCTCCTCCTCCTCCTCCTCCTCCTCCTCCTCCTCCTCCTCCTCCTCCTCCCTCCTCCTCCCTCCTCCTCCTCCTCCTCCTCCTCCTCTTCTTCTCCCCTCACCCAGCGCTCTCCCCCCGGTCTCGTGCTCAATAAGCCATCTGTGAGATACTCTCTTTTAATTGCGTGATTACCGTTATTGATATGTGCGGCCTAGGCTCACAGGCGGAGGGAGCAGACGAAGGATAGCAAGGAGGAAGAGGAGAAGAGAGGAAGAAGAGGAGGAGAGAGGGGGAGGGGAGGAGAAGGAGGGGTGACAGCGGAGGGGAGGGCGGATGGCAGCAGAGGGGAGATGGAGAAGAGAGGGAGGAGGAGGAGAGCGAGAGAGGAGGAGGATAAGGACTCCCATAGAACTTTAAGGAGAGCAAGGTCGTGGCGTGCGGCGTGTGTTGACACCTGGTGACTCATGTGCACCGCTTAAGGCCGGGGGATTAAGGCGGTCTTCTCCTACTGAGTGGTGGTTTAATTTTCTTGGAGATACGTTGACAGTGTGATGGTTGGTTGGGTCTTTCTGTGTATCTCTTTATCTCTCTGTCTATAGGTCTGTTTGTCTGTCTATCTGTCTACCTTTTGTTCACTCTCATCCTCATTTATTTTTGTCTCTCTCTCTCTCTCTCTCTCTCTCTCTCTCTCTCTCTCTCTCTCTCTCTCTCTCTCTCTCTCTCTCTCTCTCTCTCTCTCTCTCTCTCCATCTCCATCTCCATCTCCATCTCCATCTCCATCTCCATCTCCATCTCCATCTCCATCTCCATCTCCATCTCCATCTCCATCTCCATTTCCCTCTCCCACTCCTCCTCCATCTCCCTCTCCCTCTTTCTCTCTCTCTCCTTCTCCAATTGCAAAAGTTTCGCCGCATGTCCGAGGTTCTTGCTCCTGCCTGTATGCGCGGCGACAGGTTCAGGCTGGAAGCGCCGCCGAGTGATACCGTGACCCTCTCTTCTCGCCGTGGGATGAGACCTGTTCTAAGTCGTCGCTTCTTTGCCGTTGTTGCATAAGTTGATCGTAGCCCGTAGGCGCCGCTGCATTATAGTTCAAAATCGTGACTTTTTGTAAAGAAAACAACTCGGGAAACTTAAAGGGCGATTAAAGGAATGACGTAAATTTCGCGTTCAGAACAAGATTTGTGTTGAATTTTCGGAATGGTTTTGGATTTACTCGTCCGTCTTACTGTACGTTTCATATGATTTTTTTTCTTAAAGTCAAAATTTCCCTCCGTTGCTATCATCATCCTTTCTCCCTCTCTTCCTCATTTTCGTAAATCACAGTCCTTTTTTTCTCTCGCGCGGATGAGCCCGTCTTCCCGTCCTGTCCTCTGTACCCAATGAAGAATGTACTGTCTCCCTCCCTCACATACCCGCTGCCAAACCATCACGGACAGATTACCATAATCTTATTACTGTAACTGTAAGCTCTATCCCGGCTGTCATTCCGTCTTGCTAAGGAGGTTTTTTGCTCAGGCCACCGACTTGAAACTGACATACTTTGGGGAGGATATTGCCGAGGTATTTGCATATATATATATATATACATATATATGTGTATGCATGTGTGTGTATGTGTGTGTGTGTGTGTGTCTGTGTGCGTGTGTGTCTGTACCGACAGCAGTTGGTTGTGCATACATATGTATATGTATCCATGTTTGTATGTATTTGTGTGTATATGTATGTATGCATGCATGTACCTACCCACATATGAATATGCCTACATATATGATGGTAACGTTAACAGCCAAGCTCCCCCACGGCCGCCCCAACCCCCTCTTCCGCGCCAATCAGTCCCCAACATCCCTCGCCGCTCCTATCGTGCAGTCGCGACGTCCTCGCCGCGACACCGTCCCGTTGCCCTCCGCCCATCAAGGCGAAGTCCCCGCGACACGAGGCCCGGCTACCACACACGACCTCCTGCCCCGCCGTCAAAATTAGAGTCCCTACCATGCGATACCACGCCTCCTGGTAGCCGGAGGAGTGAGGTTGCGGCGGCACATTCCTGCCTTACCTCTGCAAGAAACATGATACGTCTTCGCCACCCCTCTGCCGTGGACCGAGGTGACTGCTTGTTCTGTCATATCCCAGGCGTCGTGCGTCCTTCTGCAGGAGGCCGTTGGACGCGTCCTTTGCGACGACGAAGGTGCCGATTGCTTACCTGAAGGCCTGTGCACTGCGAGGAATATTCTGGTAAAGCTTTATGCAATAATAATAAGGGTAATTAGATCGATAGATAATCAAAATAGGGAGAAAAAGAATATGAGAAGAAAGTCCTAACTTGATCCCAATAATAGCTATGACTTTTGGGAACAGGAATTTATAGGGAATAGCGACCTGCAGCCATGCCTTGCCGTGGTCTTGCCTCCAGTGCTTGAAGGGGCTCTACTCCTCAGGGAGCTACAGGCTGCCGTGAAGTGACAAACGCTTCGCTCCGTGCGCCGGGCCCTGGACCAGCTGAGGCGCAGCCGGGGCGGACATGCTAGCCACTTCCCGCAGATAAAGATCGAGATGCATTCTGTCGGAGTTATTTGATGTTGCTTATCGCTTTTATCAGCTTGGCGCACACAGGGCCTCGCGAGGAAATGCAGGCCGCGCAGTGTCTGCCTGAACACCGTACTGT